TTTACACGACGCAGCATTTGTTTCACCTAATGGTCACAGATTTGGCTTCTTTCAGTAATCGCCCATTCAGTATGTAGTAATTAAATCTTCAGCAATACGTCGAGCGAGATAGAGCGAAGTATGTCAGGCAATAAATTATGTAATGTATTGTTTCTGCCCATGTGTGTTAGACTTAAAATGATTTCGCGACATACATTTTGAACAGTAGTTAAAGAAGTGTATAACTTACCTTTATTAGAAGAAGATTGATATGAGCTACCGTATGGGTTACCTGCAATTTCGATTAAAACTGAACATACAATTTAGTTTTTAAAACAAATAACAATATTAATAATCACAAGTCTTTTATCAATAACCGCTTTGTGCTGCTATGTAAATGTGATTTGATTTGATTTAAGAACCGACATCACAGCACTCGGGGCATTCCCATAAGCGCTCCGTCCCCATCTTCAGCAGCCAGCGAAGAGCTCCAATACTAATGGTGCCAGTAGCATTCTGATTAAACGTCCATCTTGCCTTTCATATAAGCCTCTAGCATCTGCCAGAACCTCTCGTCACTCCACGCTGCACCAGTCTCACCTAGGGGAATTTAATTAAAGTAATGTTTCATTCACAACCACCGCCTTATCATAAAGTAGGCTGCCACCCAGAAGAGCAGCATCATTTTCACAATCCTGTTGTGCCGTTTTACGTCGCATGCGGCTCGCAGTCTAGTCCTTCATATCCTTATACTCTGTACAGTCCTTTCGGTGGGGACCGCCGTGGTGTAGCGCCAGACACTCGTCTGCGATTCGGAAGGTTGTGGGTTCGGGTCATGACGGAAACAGACGTTTTTCTTCTGAAAAAAAAATGACCTTGGCTCCCAGGTCGACTCAACCTTAAACGGAAACCAGGTACAGTCCTGGGAAGTAAAAGCGACCGGTGTGATGCTAACAACACCACCCTCTCTGTATGACCAATATGCATGAAGGCGTGGCAAGGGATCCTTTACTTTACTAATCCTCTCCGAACCCTAATGGAGCAATGATGAGCAATACAAGAAGACTATTAATGTTTATTAGCCTCGCTTGCTCAAGCTTACCACACCTTCACGTGGTGGACCCTGTTCTTCCCAGCAATTCAGTGGGAAATTTGATGGCAAAACAAACGAGATAAAGCTTAAAGGACTCGCTCCCCTCTTCCTCTCAAGAGATCCTTAAGTCTGAAATACTGGACCAGAATACTATTAAAAACCTCAATATCACGCAACCCTCGGAAATACTGGACCAGAATACTATTAAAAACCTCAATATCACGCAACCCTCTGAAATACTAGGCCAGAATGCTATCAAAGCCCACAATATCACGCAACCCTCGGAAATACTAGGCCAGAATGCTATCAAAACCCACAATATCACGCAACCCTCTGAAATACTAGGCCAGAATGCTATTAAAAACCTCAATATCACGCAACCCTCTGAAATACTAGGCCAGAATGCTATTAAAAACCTCAATATCACGCAACCCTCGGAAATACTAGGCCAGAATGCTATTAAAAACCTCAATATCACGCAACCCTCGGAAATACTAGGCCAGAATGCTATTAAAAACCTCAATATCACGCAACCCTCGGAAATACTAGGCCAGAATGCTATCAAAACCCATAATATTACGCAACCCTCGGAAATACTAGGCCAGAATGCTATTAAAAACCTCAATATCACGCAACCCTCGGAAATACTAGGCCAGAATGCTATCAAAACCCATAATATTACGCAACCCTCGGAAATACTAGGCCAGAATGCTATTAAAAACCTCAATATCACACAACCCTCGGAAATACTAGGCCAGAATGCTATTAAAAACCTCAATATCACACAACCCTCGGAAATACTAGGCCAGAATGCTATTAAAAACCTCAATATCAAACAACCCTCGGAAATACTAGGCCAGAATGCTATTAAAAACCTCAATATCACACAACCCTCGGAAATACTAGGCCAGAATGCTATTAAAACCCATAATATTACGCAACACCAGCAATATATAGATTCCTATATAATTACAATGTCTGTTTTTAATTATGTCTGTCATAGTAAATCAGAAAGCGAGCACAAAAAAAAAAAAAAAAAAAAAGAAGAGTCATACTCTCGATATCATAGATGGAATTCGGTTCCATTCTTCTTGCCTCTTCCAGCAAAGTCACTTGATCGTCTTCGTTTCTTCAGCCCGCTTGTTTCCCATTTCAGTGCTTGTTGGTGATCCTCGTCCATTTCTCCTCACGATGAACCCAGTTAAAGTACAAAGAAGACTGCATTATACTAAACCCCTCTTTCCCTACATAACCTTTGTTAAAGAGAACAAACAATACTTCGCGTAAAACTAGGTATCACTACTCATGGCTAGTGCTGTCGCCAGGGACTGTGCAGGTTAGGTTTTTAATTCTTGCCGCTGACCTCCCCCCCCCCCCAAAAAAAAATCCCTAACTTTAGAGAGGATTTGAAACAGCGTCTCCTGCATGAGAGTCCTGCGTTGTTAACCTTTAGGCCACAAGAAATACATAAAAGTAAAAAAAAAAAAAAAATTAAGGACCCTTTTCCCCGCCTTAAGGCGTATAGGGCTAGACCGATATTTTAAAAGACCAATCGGCACAAGATGGGTGATGTGGTCAGCATCACGCCGGCCGCCTTTACTTTCCCGGGACTGCACCCGGTACCCACTCAAGGCTGGGTTGACCTAGTAGCCAAGGTCATTATTGAAAACAGTCCGGCTCCGCCAGGGAGCGAACCCACGACCTTCTGATCCGCGGCGAGCGTCTAGCCGCTCGGCCACGGCAACTCCCTCAAAAATATATATCTTACCCTTATTTGTGGAACCCTGGGATGAGCTGCCGTATGGGTTACCTGTAATATGGAAAAGAAAAATGACCCACTGAAATTATTGTTGCTACTTCATGATGGTAACATCTGTGGCACAGAGGTATTTTTTTCCCTCCATTCCTTATAATGATGATTATGATAATAATGGTGCTGAATAGTACATACATGTAAAAATAGTGTCTATTCAATGTCCCGTTTTATCATTATATGTCACACAGGACTCGCAGTTTAATCATCTGATCCGGCCTATCCTTGGCAAAAACCAGTTATCCTCTTGTGGGATTCAATTTTTCGTTATTTGAAGCTCCTCCCTGGCTCTTGCCAGGGGCCGCAATATAGCCCGGCCATAAATATGGTCAAATGGCTGAACGCTGTTTCTGGGACCTCTCCACGGTGATCCTCTTGCTTTTTGTGTCATCGGGTGTTTATCGCTTTTTTGATGTCCTAGCGGGGTAAAATGTAGTACTAGTAATAGTCATGTACAATCATTTCGATATCATAGATATAATTCTTTGCAGCCTCATTTTGCTTTTCCCATCAAAGTTCGATGAAGGATTTCTTCTGGACGCTTTCGTTTTAACATTACCTCTGTTTCACCTATCAGTGCTCACAATATCTACATCTCCCCTCCCCGCAACTCCACACTCTAGCTCCAGATGAAAATCTCTGTATCGGAGCAGCCTCAAAGTTGGTATGCTGGCTCCTTTTCATATGTGTTCAAGTTGTTATCAAAAAAGAAAATGAAATTTGGACTGTCTACCTAAATCTACCTAACTAAAACATGGACATCAGGAAACGTTGTGGGAAATAAAAGCCGCAAGCTTGACGCTGGCGACCTCATCTATCAAATGTCGATAGGTATGTAAAATATGGGACAATCACTAAAGATGAAAAGGGCTGAGGGGATTAACAAAAGAAGAAGAAGAAGAAGAGGAAGAAGAAGAAGAAGAAGAAGAAGAAGAAGAAGAAGAAGAAGAAGAAGAAGAAGAAGAAGAAGAAGAAGAAGAAGAAGAAGAAGAAGAAGGCAGAGGAGAAGGAAACGATAATAGAGAAAAGAAAGAAATAAGGAAAGATAGAAACGATTAAAAAACAAATAATAAAGCAGAAGCAGATGAAAAAGATGAGGAAGATTAAAAGAGAAAAATAACAAGTAGACGTAGTAGTATTAGCATTAGTAGTAGCAGCTGTGAATCAACGTGAATATCACTGAGAGAAGTTGTATTTTAAAGAAGAATGGCGATCAAAACATGTCTATTTAACAACCAAAACATGTGCTGTGCAAACCTTTGGACGTCCCAACAGAGTTTGCAGTTCCAGGAACACGAATTCTGTTCGCGGACGAGTACACCGAGTTGCTGCGAGGCTGCATCCTTGAGCTGCCGGAGTACGATCCACTGGAGAGCCTTTGACATAAGAAGGGGAAAAAATTGAAAATTATATGTTCATCTCTCTGTAGTTTTTCTAATTCTTCTTCCTGTTCGTTTCGAAAATATTCATCTTCTACTGTCAATGTTTGTAAGTGCCAAACAGTACATATTAATTTGAACAAAGAAGACAATAAATTTCCAAATTGTTGCCCTTTATAGTTTACTGTGTCCCGTCAGATTACACTATAGTATTACTGGAATAAAATAAAGCGAATAAATTAATACTTTACAACAGAAATACAAAATTAGTACACTCAAATCGAACTGATTGTTCTACCAGGGCAATCGCAGGTTTACGACCATGTCATTTTGTTTACACAAATGTTATGGAATAGTTACTGTTATAAGCACTTAAAGATATACAGAGAAATAATTTAGGCAATAAATCTATTATTGGTGTCTTATTTATTCAATTTACAACTTAGAAGCAATGCTTTAATTTTCGGAAACATCTTTCGATCCAGCTTCGTCCTTTTGAGGATGCAATTTTTTGTTATTTGAAGCCCCACCCTGGATTTCTCAGGGGCCGCAATATTGGCAGGCCATATATATGGCCAATTGTCTGAACGCGGTTTCTGGGACCTCTCCACGGCGATCCTCATCCATACGGTGGCACTTTGTGTCATCGGGTGTTTATCGCTTGTGTGATGTCCTAGTGGGGTAGAAAGTCAGTCAGTTAAACATCTTAATTTGTTGACGTCAATTCTAGACTTACGTGTAGGGATTATCTTTAGTCTGACGCTGTTGCTGAGAAGTCAAGTAAGCCAGGTATCTCTGTTTCTGCAGCTGCTGCCGCTGCTGCTGAAGCTGTTGTTGTTGTCGCTGGCTTGGGTAGAGGTGTTCCCGCAGGCTTTTAGGCATCGTCGGCGGCATAATGGGGCCTTCGATGCCCAAGGCTTGAAACATTAGCGCCGTCAAGTCTTGGCACTCGCCAACGGCCACTGAAATTCAGAAAAACGGGTTTCGAGTTTGACGTGAGGAACTTCCAAGGGGGTGTCAAGCAATTTTGAAAATGAGTGCATTTGTACCTTTAACAATTCGTTAAGCTAAATTGTAAATGTAATATTGTAAAACACGTTTTATAAAACAAGAAGCAAAAAGTTCGTTTTCATAGGCAGTTTGTACTATTGTTAAAAATCTAATATGACAACACCTGCACTTAATTATAGACTAAGAACACGTTCGTGTTTTATGAAGTTGACTACATTTTGTTATGTTGTGGGAGGGGATGTGGGGGGTGGGGGAGGAGAGGGGCCGTTCTTCCTATATACTCAAAGGGATGGGTGTAGGAGGGGGCACTGGCGACCATCTGAAACAGGCTGGAGCGAAAACATGTTCATGAATTATTCTGGAAAGTAGAGAAGGCGATCTCTACGATACTGATAACCTAATTTACTTGAGATTGGTCAGTGTAAAATGTGGGACCATCATACGTCTTGAACACATTACGGTACGACAACTGGCCTCGTACCTATTACTACTTCTTCTAGGTCTGAATCCGTCTGAATGCTGATTTTTTTAAAACTAACCTAGGACTCCAGTAGACCCAGTATAAGATAATGTCAGGGAAAGTAAAGGCGACAGGTTGGATGTTGACCACATCACCCACAGATTTACAGTTGTCTATGCAATAATGAGTCTGCCACAATATGCTCCAAGCGTGCATATAATTCGTCCCTTTGTTACTTTTCCTACTTTGGATAGCAGGGTGTACCAAGTTAGCAGTTTGTGTCTGCCATTCGGTATCGCCTTCACGTCGTGGTGGACACATAAAACATTCACAACTAATTTCTATTGTTACGGTTCTGATGCTCTTCTGCCCACGATATCACACGTCAGTTGCTATTCCTTAATTTTTATGTCCACTATATCAAATGTCTGCAAATTTTACGTTGGTCTCCCCATTTACACACTGCTACACACTAGCTCGCTTCTGATTAGACGACCTACTGACCACCTTACCTCCGATAGGTCGGCCTCGAGCGATCTGACTTTCACACAAGGTCACGGGGAATTTCCGCACTCGCGCTCATACCGTGTGTTGTATATTTCACCACGCTAGAGCGCTTAACACTTCTAAAACATTTAGATACTGGTTCTAACACACAACCGCCCTAGAGAGTGAAGCTAAGTCACAAGCCGTCTCTTTCTCGTAAATAAACAACGCAAATGCGAGACAACAGACTGCGACACCCATAACCTCGACCACGGTAGCCTTGTTCTGCCAACTTATCAATGGAGTCGACCTACAACCGGTGGTGTGTAAATGGGCAGACCATCGTATAAATAACCCAAATGTCAATTAACATCTTTTTATTTTACTGTCTATTGACATCTCCAGGTTTAAGTAGGTTGTCCCCGTCTCCTTTTCCCACTTCCGTCCACCCTTGCCGAAGTGGAGTCACAAGTCATTTTGTAGAATGCCCGAGCCATCTCTTAATGTTTTCCATTGGTAACATTTACTTGTGATGAACATATTGTTTTCCTCCTCGATCTTCTATGGCCTAAACATTCGTCAGATTCTTTTTTTTAAATAAATTTTTCATACATGATTTAGCTCTTAAAAAATTAACACACACTTCTTTCTGCAACTGCAAGGGTTCTCCATCTATGCATTTCTGTGTATTGCGTACAACACAACGGAAACGACAAAAGAAATCTCTTCTTTAAATGTTTTCTATATACTAGACACTACAAAATACTTTAGATTACAAAGTAAAGAATATTGTATGCAATTTTTCTTTGTCAAATGAGACGAGAAAGAGGTTTCTTGAAAGCTAAAAAAAAAAAAAAAAAAATCCTATATTGATATACGGGTGTGAATCATAGAGAGTAAAATAGTGAAAACTTATTTGGAAACTGCGGAGATGTGGTTTTGTGGAAAAATACCCTGGACAGATAAAAAAGAGTAATGAAGAAGTCTTGAAAGAAACTGACTCATGAAGAGAACTGATTGCCCACATCAGAGACAACCTAGATTCTTTGGTCATGTGAGGAGAAGGAGAAAACTGGAGTACATCGTGAGTGTAGGAAAGTTGGAGGTGAGGAGAGGCAGACCGAGAGAACATATACTGGACAGTTTGACATCATTGCACGGAAGACCATCTGTATCAGAGTTGACTGAAGTACACGAGACAGAAGGTTGTGGATAGACATGACTTACAACGCCACACGCCATGGATTTGAAGAAGAAGAAGATACTAGACACTGCATCACTGTCTAATGTGTTATAATTGTTGTTAGATTTATTATTCGATGTGTGCTAGGTTAATATGCGTATCTGTAACATATGTAGATAGTTCAATAGTGTAATGGGAATTGTCTGTTTTTCTTAGTTGGAAGTTTAAACTAACTCTCATAGAGTTGCGGCTAATAAACAGACATTTTTCAGGGGTCTAAAGTTTGTCATGCGTCTTAATATATATGTCCTACGGCGGGTCGTTATCCTAATTACCCGGTCATTTCCCTATAGCTTCAGATTTCTATGTTGTCTAGCGTGTGTAAACAGAATCTTGTCTCAGAAGCTGAAATATTTTCTTCATATCAAGCGTCATGGCAGATTTAAAAAAAAAAAAATTGATGCTATGGTATCAGAAAGGTGGGTCAGGGCCGACCATTACGACGATGGGTACAGGATTTAATTGACTCACTTTCCCCATGTGGATTCCGGGGCCCTATTATAGGGAAAACAAGAACAGACCCATTGCCTACCCAAAAGCATGTCTTAAGAGTCGACACATGAGAGCTTCCTTCGAAGTCTGAGTGCATCTGCCTGAGAGGCAAGGAACCAGCAGTCTGCATAAAAATGAGTCAGATCTGTAAAACGGATGCACACGCAACACTCAGGTTCTGGGAAAGGACTGCAGTTCAGGATTGGACGAACAACCAGAACTTTCCGCCGGAGTTTACAGCTGGTGAAGAAGAAGAAGAAGAAGAATTGACTCAATAAATATGAAAATACACCACGTGGGAGAACTGGTGAGAGTCCGAGTTTCTTCCACGTAGACCATGAGAAAAGCGACGTTCTGCATAGGACTTGCTACGTGATGATGTTAAATGTTTTTTTTTATCTTTCTACTTCTTTCTTTTAGTGCCGATCAATACATATCTATTTGTTTATAATAATTATATAATTTGCAGGACGTGGCAAAGGAAGCCAGGCATTTGTTGGCTGTCTGTGGCTCCACCAAACACTTTTATGTTCAGCAGTTTGCTATTACACGGCCTTCTCTATTTTTTTAAAAGTCATGTAATTTAGTTGTTAGGCATTATTAGAGAAGGCGTTGGCTATTATTACGGAACAGTGGACGCTTAGAGGTTTGACAATCTTGTATACTTTGTTAGAGCGTTTTTTTCAGTGAAAGAAAGCCTCGCAATAACATCTGTTCAATATCTCTGTTTAGGTTCCACAGTAGCTTTAATGTATGCGAGAGGGAGCCATGTTTCGTACTTTTGACCAAAGTATTTAAGAGTGGTAATTAACTCTCATAACTCGAGGTGTAACACAATTACCTCTAAACGACACAACACTCTGCTTACCGATTGTATTTTTATTCAATCAGAAGGCCGTTCATAGAACTTAGCTCTAGTCACTGCACGCCTGAATATGGTCAGAGCCCTTTAGGAACACGTAACGAAGTCAGAAGTGAAACTGGATTATTATGGGCTGGAGAGAATGATGCACCTGGGTGTGACCAGAGGGTCTGGCCAGTTCACTACACTCAGAGTAGAGACAAGACGGACATATAACCAGAGTACGACCGGCACCATTAGTATTGGTATTCAGCGCGGGATGTTAAAGATAGGAACGGAGCGCATATGGGAATGCCTCGACTACTGTGATGTCAAGTTTTGAATCAGCTCAACTCAGCGTCTTTCACAAGCAAATTCTCCAGTCCTATGTATTCTCACAGCCAATGTATCTTTAACTACCTCTATCCACAGTCGCAAAGGTCTGCCTCTGCCTCGTTTTCTGGAAACTCTACCGTCAGTCACCGTTCTTTTCAGGCTACCATGACGTCATCAGGGCCAGAATATCAGCTTTTGGGACAGGATGTTGTTTATAAGCGAATTGTTCATGAGGCTCTGATCATGTAGGAGATGTTTGCGGTATCTGCAGAAGGAGGAGAAAAAGGTTGAGGAAACGAACAGGAAGAAGAAAAATGAAAAAGAAGATTTTAAAAACGTGTGTTACCCCTAAACTCTTCTGCACCCCTGACTAAAGCGGTCTTACAGGTTATTTCTGTTACACAACAAGTATAGCTTCTAACCATCTGGTTCAGACAGGCCGACTTCTGCACTTGATTAATGTACATAATACTCCAGGCTAAGAAAATAAACTCTTTTTGATCTCAGCCATGTTGGCGTCATATTCAACAAAAACACCCTGGAATGCACAACGAAAAAGGCATCATGGCTTGCTTGATGATAATTATAATAATAGAAGGAAGTGTCCTTCACATTTCAAACGCAAGGACGGAATAGCAACAGACGTAATTCTTCAAAATGGAGTCACTTTTGACGCTTTGAAGTTATTTATCGCGTCCGTTAGGGGTGGTAACTCATTTTGTTGTCATGGGATGTTGTTTAACTCATTTATTCTTGGCAATGTTTTCTTTTCCCATACTAACAGTCCATGGCTGCACTCTTGGGGATGGGTGGGGGAGGGGGGGGGGTGTAGCCAACAACACGGTGCAAAAAGTTTGTTTCCTACATCCTGTTACGTTTTCTTTTAGACTGGGTGGCCTTGCGAGGTATAGGCTAGTTATATAACAGTTATGCGGACAAGAAGTCATCATCACCTGCCGATGTGGCATATGTCACATTGGTCTTAAAATCTATTTATTCATCACGCTACATCACGTAAAATCCTTTCAAAACCATAGGAGGAATTCAGTCCAAAACATTTGAACTCTCGGCTATCCACT